TATTTGTTTAAAAAAATACATTTTACAGTAATACAGTTTTATTTAATTTAATAAACGCACTATTTGCTTTGAGTAACAATTGTTTTTTAAATGTATCAGACAACATCGTCATAGAAGAAATTGTGTTCTCACCAACCACGATACTTGATTCTTCTTAAGGGAAAATTGATGAATACATAAAAAAACCATTTATCTATTTTATAAATGGTTAAATGATAGACATGATTCCATTTCAAATGTAAAATGGAAATGGTTTTCCAAAAAACCATTTAAAATGGAAAATGCAAAATGCCATTTCCATTTTAAATATGTATTTAAAATGGAACTATTTTAAATATTACCCAGCCCTGATAATTACATATAACTTCATGTTCTACGATATCCTTTATATAATCATATTTTGTACACAGAGCTGTAAGAAATTCTAAAGCATTTCGTTTAATAACATTCGAAACTCTCCTAAAGATTGCCGTATATCATATGTGTTCAAATTAGACATTCCATGTTCATATCGATGCGCGGACAAATTTAAAACATCAAGTTTATCATAATTTAATAATTCCTTTCTGAATGTATACAAGTTCAATAAACATTGTAATGTTGCATTTGCATAGCATGAAACTTTGTCTATATTTTGAAAACCGCGTATAATCCAAGCAGTTCTTTTTATTGGAGCTTCTTTTTGACCTGATTCTTGAACGGGGAAGTAATTATTTTTGACAATGTCCACGAAACATCTTTAACTTTACGATAACGTTGTTTCAAAATAGCGATTATTTCTGATTCTGGTTTACCTATTCTGTTCAATCGATTATATTCTATAATTGCCATTTCACTAGCAAACACGGACGAAGGATCAAAATTAATTAAATGTAGTCCATCAAGAGATGTTACTCGAGATAATGCAACATAAACCTGACCACAACTAAATACATTGTTACCTAGATCCATAACAGCATTTTGCAAACTCAATCCTTGACGTTTATGAATGATAATACCATAACTCAATGATAATGGAAATTGTTTTCTAGTAACATATACTCTATCCATCACTGGAAACTTAACACTCACTCTTTCAATAAAATACTCTAAACTATATGGTAAACGAACTTTTATCTTTTCAATGTAATCAGTATCCTGTGAAACTGATATAACTGTAGCAATTGTACCATTTACAAATCCCAAATTAGCATCAATATTACGTCTTATCATAACTTTCGCTCCAATTTTAATTGTAATTTGTCTTGACAATCCAGCTGTTTTAGTATCATCGTCATCATTATTTGCCAATACCTTTTCTACTTTTTTTTTCATATATGAAATACAATCAATCGTGTCTTCAGCAATTAAAAATATTTCTTTCGAAGTAATACGATTTAACATTGCAGCATTTAATTGATCACACATGAGATTGTTAGGTAATAAACAAACGATAGATGTGAAATTATTGATGAAATCACATAATTCGTTTAATCTTGTCTCAAAAGACTCACCTTTGAAAGATATTTTCCTTTTTTCAAGAATATGACAATCAGATGGTATTAACAAACCAACGCGAATTCTCAAAAGTAACTCACGATAATTTCCGTCTCCTTGCTGATGCATATTAATCGTCAATTCATCATAATCGAATAAAGTAGTCCATAGATTAGTAGCACTTAAAGAACCAAGATATTTACGAATTTTTTCTTCTGTTAAATGTACCTCCCTCCTCTTCTACTGCCTCCTCCCTTCCCCACTACTCATCTTTTTCATTTTATTTCACTATCTTGTCGTATAATATGGATTTTTCCCATAAAATATATCCTTTAATTAACTAGTCTTTAAAAATTCTATCTCTAAAGATCTAAGAGGTACCATTCTTACACTTATTTAATTCAATGACATGTATGTGTATATAAACTTACCTTTTTAAAAAAAAGGTAGAAAAAAGCGCTAAGAGTGGGTGCTGCTGGTCAGAAAACCATTTGGGCCAGTTTCACCAACGTCAATTACTTAATCGACTGTGAAACTGACCAATCACATTTGCTGTTTAGTAGAACCATCTTTAAAAACCTACGTGATATTATCCTTATTTACTTAATTCTAATGACATGTATCATTTGTATAAAAGATTTGATATCAATAGTAGGCGCCAAGTTAAATTCTAATCTTTAAAAACCAACGTGGTATTATCCTTATTATTTAATTAAATCAATGACATGTATCATTTGTATAAAAGATTTGATATCAATAGTCGGCGCCAAGTTTTTCTACCTTATTACTTACTTAATTTTAATGATATTTATCATTTGTATACAAGATTTGATATCAACAGTCGGCGCCAAGTTAAATTCTACCAAATTAAAAAGTAAAACACAAGTGGTACCTTTAATCTTTAAGAACCAATATAGTATTATTATTTAAATTCTACTAAATTAAAAAGTAAAACCCATGTGGTGTACTATCTTTATCTTCATACAATGAAACCTAAGTATATGCCTTTGTATTCTTATTAGAAGATCTTCCTATTCGAAACCAAGTGATTTAATTCTTCTTTAAAAAAATTATATCACAATTAATTTAAAAACAATGAAAAAAATTTATTTAAATAAAAAAATTTTTTATGTAAAAACACTTCGCGCTGCTAGTTCTCGATCTTGGTGTAATAAAATACAATATAAAAGATAAGAAACATTTTCACGAGAATTAAAGTATTTAGTGTGTATATATTCGTGTTGTATGTGCGAGCGAATTGTATCTCAATCCCAATATAATAACGTCATAATAAAATTATACATGGATGTAACATTTTGTACAAAAGAGATTAGAAACTACGAGTGTTAAAGTATGCAGTCTGTATGTATATTCGCGTACAGTATATGCGAGTGAAATACATAAAAAAAGAAAAGTAAGCTGTATTTATTAAATGTAGCATTTAGAATATGTTTACTATAATTTTTAAATTATCATTACCTTTACATATATTTGTATTAATTATTATAGCTTTTAGATAGTTTTCATTGTTTTTTTTATTCGCTCTAGCAGCGCGAAGTGTTTTTACATAAAAAATTTTTTTATTTAAATAAATTTTTTTCATTGTTTTTAAATTAATTTTGATATAATTTTCTTAAAGAAGAATTAAATCACTTGTTTTCGAATAAGAAGACCTTCTAATAAGAATACAAAGGCATATACTTAGGTTTCATTGTATGAAGATAAAGGTAGTACACCACATGGGTTTTACTTTTTGTTACCTACGCCTATGCTAAACGTCACGACATGCGCGGCTAGGCAACGATCTGTATGTCGACAGTCAGAAGGTCGACACCGGCAGTTGTGTTTAGACATTCAAAATAGACACACTCTTTCGTATTATCACTAGGCCTTCCGCATATTATGATTAGCACATAATTCTCAATTAAACTACGAATTAAAGATTAGTGACAAACACAACAATTG